GTCAACTCCAAAAAAGTCACGTGATTGATAGTAAGCAATCACAAGCTTAGCAGGCCTCGACCTAGTCTCCTACGCAGCCGCTATTAGAGTCGTGAGCGTTGCGTGACGACACTAATAGTGCTGCGTAGTCACCTGCCCGGCCCTGCCCGGTCAGAGTATAACCCTTGGTCTCCTTTGAGTAATTAATCCTCTTACAAAAGTATCTTCTTTTCAAAACATTGTATAGCTCGATATCTGGACAGTCTAACTTTTTAATGTCTACAAGGAGTAAAAGATAGCAGGAAGATCTTGACGAAACGCCGAAAAAGTGAAAAAGGCAACACAGTTAAACGAAAGATAACTATTTAAGGATTTGTTTCTTCAAGCAAATTTTTTTCTCGGGAAAAAAAATGTCCGAGCTCCAGGAGGGAAACTAGCTAAAGTTATGAATATGATATACCACTAAAAAACGACTATAAACTAGGAACAAACTTAATTGATGCTATCAAAATCAAATGATCAGTAAAAATAAAAAAGCTGCTACTAATGAGAATGCTGCTGAAGCACTTGAATCTGCTATGACTATAATGTAACTAGGGATTTGAAAACCTCTGGAAACAAAACAGAATTGTTTTTGAATATTTACGTACTCGTTTTTAATTTCTTTAGACCAATGATATTTTATTATCGTTTTAGGATATCAAATTAAGTTTTATTCTGGTTATTTGTAAAATATTCATCCGGTTTTGACACAAAAGAAGACTCGAGCGTGCGGAAATATCATACTCATTTGGCCCCACATGCTAATCTGTGTACATCCTTTCCGACTGTCAGAAATATATTTTCCTATTTTTTTCCGACAGAAATGAACCTCCATAAAGCACAAACAATGGCATATGCTTTTATATCAGTTTTTAAGCGCGTCCCATCCTGCTTAATTATTTAACATTTCTATTGATAAAGTCCAGTGATGTCACGGCATGAATTGCACTGAAGACTCTTCGTAACGAAGTTATTTAATTGTTTTAGCTATATCTTTCCCTTTTCTAAAAAAATTAAAAAGAATTCTACTGATAGAAGGAAAAGGGGAGTCGAGGTTTTTTATGTAGCTAGACATTCCACGAGGCAGTTCCTTTGTTACACTTCTGCTTCTTTGTCTTTATCTCTGCTAGCTGCACCACATGGCATAAACAGTTTCCACTTTGCTAGTTTATCTTTCAGTGCTCAGCTGCATTTCTGCAAGGCTTTTTCCTCGCATCTTTTCGCATAACGTTTTCTTTTAAGGTTGTAAAAATGACTCTAGGACTTCTAAGAGTCATGTGTTTAGAAGCGAATACCTTTAGCAACGCTGAAAACCTTGGACAGAGTTTACACAGTGTTACTTGACACTCAMACTCAATATTGATAATCCTTTCAAAAAACTCTTTCTTCTGTAAGCAAATAAACCAAATTAAATCTGCCCTGGCTGAAGGACCTTGGTTGAATATTAAACCAGCAGAGATTTGAGCAACTCAATRCATTATAACTTACTCTGCAAACCAAAATAACGAGTTGTCGCCATGTAATATTGTTAAAACAATGTCTGTTGAGTATAATTATGCCCTCTTATAAAGCATCTCATTTTCACGCTACGAGTCATGTATGATATCATCTAAAATATCAATGATACGTCTCAATGCTCAAGAATTAACTTAGTTTTTAGCAAATAAATTCAAATATCTTACCAAAAAGAAGAAATTAAAGACGAAAAGTAGATACTTGGAACACTTCACTCCACACATAATTGCAGTTGTCTCGCTGCTTTTTGTCGGCCGGTTGACGAAGGAGTTCTCGAGAAAAATTTGTGCTGGAATCGTAGATGGCCGATTAATAATGATTTCCTGCTGGGGAACTCATGACTAAAGGACAAACTGTTTACGAGTGAATGATTGGGGAAATATTCAAAAACAGGTCACAGCTTCCTTAAATGGTTGCAAGGAAAATAACCGATTGTTCTGATGTGTCAAGTTGCTATGGATACTATTGAATGTCAACGCTATTGTGTTTTCCTTCAAATTATGTCGATCTCACTATAATTATACAAAATGAAAATTGCATATTAAATTTTTAAATATATATTTTACATTATTGCTATTTTCTTAATTTGTTCGCTCTTGCTTCCTCTATTTTTCGAGGAAAACACGGTTTTAGAAGAGTCGTTTTGGAAAATTTTCAAACCACAATGCAAAATGAAACAGCTTTTCTTGATGACACATCACTCAGATATTTCAGTTACAATTTTGATAATTTTCAAAACAATTTGGATAATCAAAATTAAAGCTGAAAAACTGTAAATTTAATGTTTTATTAAATTTTCTTTTCCTTGCTTATTTATTTGTTTTTTATTATTTTTATTTTTATTCTTATTCTTATTCTTATTATTATTATTATCATTATTATTGTTATCATTATTATTATTATTATTATTATTATTATTAATAAAGTTTTGTAAATTTTCAAGTGTTCGTAAAGTCATATTCGAGTAGTCAATTGCCCTATTTCACTATAACGTCACATCAAAACAATCTGTTGTTTAAACGCAAAGGATCATGGTCGTCGGAGGGATTCAAAATCAAAGCAAATTCACCGAAAATTGTTCTAAAACTCGTATCAATCCACGAAGAGAAGTAGAATAGCCAGCATACGCTCAGGATATTATTTTAGTACATATTAACACATATTATATCTGAAAACCAGGCCATTTTAGATTAAACTGTTTCGCTAGGAGCAAATTTTGTTGAATTTTCTATTGGATTTGGTGATTCTATCCCCGACATAAACAAGCAGTGACGTCATAGTGAAATAGTAGAGAGATTTACAATTGCTGTAAAAATGTTAAAAACATAAAGTTTTCATTATGATTAGAAAATCTCATTACGCCATTGCGCTCCTTATTTAAGAACTGAACTAAAAGTCAGTGTCGATACAAACTGTAAATGTTTCTGACAACGGCTAAGCAGTTTTAGATTTATGTGTTGTATCGTCGTGCGAAAAGAAAATGACAGCATCAGTATCATGTCTCGAAACAGCAGAGTCAACATTTTCTCGCTTAAACAACAGAAATGCTGCAGAAAGTTCATGTCTTTGAACTTTTCGATACAACCAGTGTCAGTTGAAATTAGAGCCGTTGCTGGGGTGCGAGATGGTAGACACTGCAGTAGAAAAGTTATAAATAGGATTGAGCCTATGGTCATCGATAACAGCGGTATTGACCAATTTCCGGAATGAGAAAGAGGACGTTTAAGGTCCCGTTTACACGAAGCCGGATATTTATATCCGGGTAAAAAAATTTGCGTTTACATGCAGCTTCGTGTAAACGCTCATCGTTTTCGATCGTTTATGATTTTTATGATTTATGATTTAAGATTTATATAGCGCCTTTTCTATATGATTATAATCAAAGGCGCTTTACATTGAGTTGTGAATGACAGATTGCTTTTTATGCAATTTACAAGCACGAGATATGGTTAGTATGAAGTGTAGGCACTGAGGGTGGTCACTGCCAGGGTTTCTTTACGTCCTCAGTGGTTCTTATGTTCAGGAGTTTATGACCGTTTACACGAAAACGCTCCATCGACTCGAAAACGCTCATATGAGCTAAATGAACATGCGCATAGTTCCTGAGCATACGATCTCCTTTGTTTAGTGACGTCAGCGTTAACGAAAATATCCGGCTTCGAGTGTTTACACGGAAACGAATGGCCAGTGTTTTCAAAAATATCCGCTTTGAAGAGCGTTTTTGAAAATAGCCGGCTAAATACCGTCTCCGTGTAAACGATAGGCCTAAACAGATAAAAAATACAAATAATCGCGCTCACAAAAATATCCGGCTTCGTGTAAACGGGGCCTAAGTACGATCCTGGGCCCAGTTGTACGAAGCCTGGATAGCGCTATCCGGCGGATAAATCCTTATCCAGTGAATGAGTTGATGCTGTTTTCCAATACCAACCAACTGGATAAGATTTATCCGTTGGATAGCGCTATCCAGGCTWCGTACAACCGGGCCCTGGTTATTAGACATTCTGAGGACATCCATTCTGAGAAGACATTCTGCATTGTGGGGCAGTTTGGACATATTTCCAAGATGACATCTAATTCGTCCCCTAAAACAGTCCATTATGCACTGCAATGTCATTCTACGAAACTATTACTGCAGCCTCGGTCAAAGTTCCCTTTAAACGAGAAGGGTATCAGAAGAAATCAGACGAGGGAGATCGAGAAGGTTTGTTGAGAGGGAAAACTGGGGAGAGCACGCAATAAAAGTACAGTCTTTTTTATTTTATAACTTTGGACCAAGCATGCATTGTACATTACAGTGACATCCTCGGGAACCCAGCTAGAGGTAAGATTCTGTCGCTCCTTTATTATACCCTGTTTTACCGAGGATGTTAGGGTCAAAGACGTTAAACGAGTGGTTGACGGTTCGAGTGCGCTCACTGTCAGAAAGGCGTTACGATACCTTGCGTTACTTTTCCAAGCATACTCGACTCGCTTCATGAACACACTCCACCGAGATCTCTTGTTGTTCATGGCAAAAGGTTTACGGCAAAGATTCTAGTCTTGAGTCTGACTGCAATCTCCGCGATCGATACCACGTTGTCGATCGACTGGTTCAATCTGAATCTGAACACTAACGGTAAGAAAAACATTGCTTAAACTGATATTCACTCACTACAACAGACATTTGATATTGTTATTGCACATTTGCCACTCAAGCAAACAGAAAAGCGAGAAAGCAATTATATGATAGTTTATCTGCTCGTTCCTCTCACCATTCTTTCCTTCCTTCCTTTATTTAATAACGACAGATAATTTTAGGAATAATTTAGCGAAAAATATATTTCTGCAGCTTAGACGTTGAGCTCGGGGCCAAGGAGTCAAGTTTGTAAACGCTCACTTCGAACGCAAGGAATTAAGTGAAATATTGTCTAGATTTATTTACAGGCTGCAAATGCAAATTTCAAGGTAGCTTCTTAGGACAACCAGCAATAATAAGATCCTCATACTATTCTAGTTGGTGAAGACACATAGCTCGTTATTCCCAGCAAAAGAAATATATTGAATATAAATTTCTTAAGGGTGGACTGACAGTTTAAAAACGCTTATCATTAGTTTGTGTTTAAAATGCAAATCATATCAATCGATTTGATCATGTTGTTACTAATCTCATCTTGTTTATCTTTGACCGTTTTGTGGTCTCATTCTGTTTGTTTTATTCAATTTGTAATCCAAAGAACAGCTCTTTAAAAAACGTTCAAATAAAGAATATTTCATCGTCTTATTATAGAACATTCGACATGTATCTTTATAACATCATATCACAGGTAGCACAATATTTGTTCTAAAATTTATTATTTATCTTAATTATTTTATCAATRAATTTAACATTTATTTTTTATCATTTATTTACGATTGTAAGCAAAACCGTTACAAAATGTCAAACGTTTTGCATGATATTCAGTTCCTTGCTTATGGTTTTTGCAGTTCTCAACGACTTCTCAACCGCATTCAGTCAATTCTTGACCACGTTCCATACATCGTTGCAGACCAACACGTCACAAGCCACATTTCTCTCACCAGACCTAGGCTCCAATTTAGGCGAAAGCCCAAAGATCGAATTAGAATTTAGAAGTTGATTTTTGAGGAGGGAGGAAAACCGGAGAACCTGGAGAAAAACCCTCGAAGCACAGGAGAGAACCAACAAACAACTCTACTCACATACGACATCGAGATCGGCAGGACTCGGACTCGGGCCGCATTGGTGAGAGGCGGCGCATTAGCAGCACACGCCACCCGTGCTTTCCTAAATCTAGAATTGTATTGGGTGATTTTTTTCTCTTTCAACCAAAAATAGTTGACCCATAATTCTATTCGGGGAACGCGGTCAACTTTTAATTTGAGATGCACCTGTTTTATAGTTTTCATAATCATCATCAACTTTTATATTATATTATTATTATTTATCAGTTATTGGATGAACATGATATCGTAAATCATAAATGTATTATTTGTATAGGAAAAAGGCTCGTGCAATTACAAGAACTTTCAAAACATTACTCGTGTCTATTAATTTCCAAATTGTACGAGAAGATAGTGCGATTTTTTGTTTATAGTTCACTTAACAAAATTTCAGTAAAAAAATGCGAAGCGACGCCGTTCATCTTTGACTATTTGGCGGCCGACTTTCAGTCCATCGCGCAACTGAAATGCATAAAAAAGATATATTAGTTCTTATTAGTTGTTACGGCTTCTTTTTTTTTTTTTTTTTTTTTTTTTTTTTTTTTTTTTTTTTTTTTTTTTTTTTTTTTTTCTTCTGTTGACATTGTTTTGGCCGTGATGCCATAGCGACTTAATTCGGTACTCCTACGGAGTACAATTAACGCTATAATTGTACTCCTCTCGACCAATCAGAGTCGAGTTATTTTGTTGACTGTACTATAAGCAGAGAAACCTACAGATAACACACATTTATCATGTCACGTTCACACGATATCAGGGATTGGCTGAAGGCTCTCGGCCAATCAGAAACGCGATAGTGATTAAAATCTATAATAATTATCGTTATTAGTTCCTTTATAGGTAAACCCTGGTCAGCAGCATGTCAAACTCTGTGAAGATCATCAAGTRTCTAGTTATCTTTTTTAACCTTCTATTTTTCGTGAGTATACTATTATTATTTTAAGTGCCTATGAACCCTGACTCAATATTTTCAGCATCGATTTTACATGAAGTGAATAGTTGAATGGTTAAATGTTACTATTTTATTTGAGTGATGCATCTTGGAGTTATCGAGGCTTATACTTCCAATATGTTAATGATGTAATCATATTCATCCTCGCTTAACTGTTAAACAATTAAAAATGATATTCTAGAAAATGACACGTGATCTGATATGGGAACACATTGCATCCATGCCATATGGGTCTATTTTCTTTGTTATTTGATCCAATCACAATCTTTGTTCTACCTTAAGTGGATTACCAATCAAATTTCTTTCACGTGTAGGTTTTAGGGATTTGTCTGTTGGCTATAGGAGCCTGGGGAGAAGCCACTATTGGACCATATGTCCAGCTGTCAAGTGTTAACTACGCCACTGCTCCACGTGTACTGATGGCTCTCGGCGTAGCTATTGCTGTTGTTGCCTTCTTTGGCTGTTGTGGAGCTATGAAGGATAACAAATGCATGCTAACTATGGTGAGCTGTTTTGTAGTCATTTGTAAAACATCTAGGAAGACATTTATCAAATTCACCATCCATCTTAATTATCCTTGAATTTATCGATACCCTGAAACAAACTCTGGGCTGATCTAAGTCAGGGCATGGCTAACTCACAGATAGAACCCTGGAGCAACCTCTGCGCTGATCTAAGTCAGGGTATGGCTTACTCACAGATCAAACCCTGAAACAACCTCTGGGCTGATCTAAGTCAGGGCATGGCTAACTCACAGATAGAACCCTGAAGCAACCTCTGGGCTGATCTAAGTCAGGGCATGGCTAACTCACAGATTGAACCCTGGAGCAACCTCTGCGCTGATCTAAGTCAGGGTATGGCTTACTCACAGATCAAACCCTGAAACAACCTCTGGGCTGATCTAAGTCAGGCACGGCTAACTCACAGATAGAACCCTGAAGCAACCTCTGGGCTGATCTAAGTCAGGGCATGGCAAACTCACAGATAAAGACCTGAAACAACCTCTGGGTTGATCTAAGTCAGGGCACGACTAACTCGCAGAATGAACCCTGAAACAACCTCTGGGCTGATCTAAGTCAGGGCATGGCTAACTCACAGATCAATCCCTGGAACAACCTCGGGATGGGCTGATCTAAGTCAGGGAACGGCTAACTTACAGAACGAACCCTTTAACAACCCGGCTCTGGGCTGATCTAAGTCAGGGCATGGCAAACACACAGATAGGACCCTGTAACAACCTCTGGGCTGACCTAAGTCAGGGCACGGCTAACTTACAGAACGAACCCTTTAACAACCCGGCTCTGGGCTGAGCTAAGTCAGGGCATGGCTAGCTCACATATCTAATTGTAATTTAGCTAATTGCTCAGGGAGGAAAACAGGGAAACCCGGAGAAAAACCCTCAAATAAAGGGAAAGATCTAACAAACTCGACTCGTATGTGATAGGGCTCGAAATCGGTTCCGAGACCCCTGATGTGGGCCATTTAATCCATTGAATTTAATCCATCTGTCTTACTCAACATTTTGTATCTGTAGTTTTTCACGATGCTGTTAGGTCTACTGCTGCTTGAGATTACCGCGGCTGTGCTTGCATTCCACAACAAAGACAAGGTAAGGCCAAACATCTTACACTACTTACCATTCTCAAAAGAGCAACAAGATAAGGGGAGTTGCCTCGCATGGGTACTCTCGACCCCTTCGCGTCTCCCCTTTGGTTTTCTACAGCCTTGTTCTTTTCTGGTTTTAAAAATAAAAAAAAAAAAAAAAAAAATTGAAAAAAAAAAAAAAAAAAAAAAAAAAAAAAAAAAGATCATGAGCGTGACTTTGTGATCTCACTAAGGGTCCAGTCTTATATATATATATTTTTTGTATGTTTTTTTTTGTAGTACTACGTAAAATTTTATTGTCGTTTCAGATCCAAAAAGAGCTGGAAAAAGATATCAGAAAGAACATCGTGCATTATCCAAAAGAAAATGTTAAAGCACTCGATGATTTACAAAATAAAGTAAGTCAGCCATGTTCGTAGACTCATTTGCATAAACCCAAGATGATTGGTTTGAAACGGCGGGTCGCGATGCAATGATTTTAGCTGCAAGTTATGGTGCTCCGCTATAACATGTAAGGACGACGAAATTTAATTTAGTGTAAAGAATATAAGACGCTCTTTTACTCCGACGAAGGATTAGCGTCCGAAACGTCAGTAAGTTTTTTCATCTTTTCACGGTGTATAATTTACCCTTTTATCATTACTGTTTCATTAGAAACACCAACGCAGCTCACACTAGTTTTTAGCTAGTTATCTCTTCAGAATATAAGACTGAGAATCCAAGTTTAGTGAAAGCTCTTTTTCTAAACCAGGAAGGCACAGCTCGTTTTTTTCAGATCAAGATACCGTTAATGGTAAATGCTGGCAAAAAAAAAAGTAGACATCCTTTATGGAAAAAAAAATCCTCATTTTCTTGAATTAATAAAAGTCGCTTTAAAAAAATAAAAAATAAATATTTACGAAAAGAAGAAGAAAGTACTCTTAATACGGTGGGAATCGAACCCGCGTCCATGAACTTTAATTAGATAATTAATTCCAAAATAATGGGGAAAAATAGTGCCTTCATGCCATACCCCTAGACATCCGCTGGGTCATCGTATGGACTTCGGACATGACGGCAATTAAGTCCCTCTGCCCTTGGGTGTACGGATTACGCAGTATAGTGTTCTAGCCGAAGCATCAGGGGAGAGACTAGCCGGCCCCCAGACCATATCTACAACTAATCCCTTGCACTCTGCCACGCACTGGCACGTTGATTTGAAGTGGAAAATAATCTAGTCTACCTGCTGCATTGTTGTCATGGCTATTGTTGTGCTAATTTCCTAAAATCGTGGCCCAGTGGAAAAAACTTGGGCTTCCAAGACACTGAGTCAAGCACGTTTGAGGSAGATTAGTACCTGGATGGGTGACCTGAAATTTATAGTTACCCAACTTACACTGTTTTTGAAATGCYTTTTTTATTTTTTATTTTAAGATACTCGTTGAGAGCGCGGCTATAATGTATATGAATATGAATATGTGTTATATTTTTCTTCTAGTTGAAGTGTTGCGGTGCAAACGGGCCCAGTGATTGGTTAAACAATACTGATTACATGATGACAAATTACACGACCTCGGTACCAGACTCCTGCTGCAAGACAGAATATGAAGGTCAAGATTGCGGGAGAGGTCAACTTGTTAACCAAACCAAAATACATACGACTGTAAGTTGCAACGAATAAAACTATTGTTGGGGTACAACCACATGACTCAAAATCATTTGAGATATAGATTACAATGAAAATGTCACCATGATGGTTGATCTAACAAGGGAAGCTAATGATGAATGCTTTGTTATCGTGTTATTGTGGTAGCGATCACAAATAATGCTCATTTAGTACTCGAATGCCGATCCTTACACATCACCATTAATTTAATTGTCAGGTGATGGACCTATTTACGATAGGTCAAAAAGCAAGGTTGTTGTGGCCGTATTTTTGATATAATATAGATCCAGCCTACAGAAATACGCCAGATTTAATGCTAAAGTAGACCTTTTTAGAGTCGAGTAGACCACGAGTCATTCCCCAGAGAATACGATTCTTTGTTCGAGTCGTATCCAATTCACATTTCTTCTGAGATAATGCGCAACTGTTAAACGAAGACATGACACGTGGTCTGAAATGGGAAAGCGATAAGCTCAAGGTAAAAAGGTCTTTTGGCCTCTGAAAAAAATTCTATTTATCTGGTAAAAATTTTATTATAAAATTATTATACTATTTTATTTAATAAGTGAGGCTTAGCCAGCACATTATAGAAGCTATATGCTATTTTTAAGAGTAGTGAATTTCATTTAAGCACTCGACGTGTGTTATTCTTGCTTATATCACTAATTTGGCCAAGTTTTTTGTTTAAACAGGTATAGGCCAATTAAAGACCTTCTCCGGGCTAGGAAGTGATATCTTTAACAAACTGCTACTTTTCATAAATCCACAGGGATGCTACCCAGCACTAAAGGAAAAGATTGAGGATAACCTGGTACCAACTGGTGCCTTGGCTATGACGGTACTGGTCATACAGGTATGTGAAATCTACATTTAAATTATCATGATTGAAGCATATTCATGCATGTGGCTTCTCGGGTGCAACCATTAAACAAAGAAATGATACTCTAGGGAATGACACGTGGTATATTGGGAAAACATTACACTCAAATTAAGAAGGTTTATTTACTTAACCACAATGTTTCGAAGTTGTTTTTTAGTTTTATCATCATTTTCACTGACATATTTCCTTCCTATCCTGCAGCTATCTTCCTTGTTGTTTATGCTTCACGGCTATCTTTTTTCTTTCTCCAGATACTTGGAATGTCATTTGCCATAGTCCTTATTTGCCGCATGTAATGCTTCAAGACGTAAAAACAACAGAAAAATATTATTAACACCTTTAGTCAATATCATAAACAAATTTTTCACGCTCCAAAAAATCTCTCATTAGCAAAACAGTTCTACAAGATGAGACGTTTGGTAGCGAAAGAAATGGCCTGCCTAGCTGATAACTTATCAGTAAACCATTTATAAAGTGTAAAACAGAAATAAACGTATTGGTGATAAGTTATAATTAGAATGTAATAGAAGTTGCACAGGTTCTGGGCCTATAGTCAAAAGTTCAAACCTGTATACAAGAGGTTTTTCACTGAGCTTTAGTAAAGTCATTACATGTATTTATTTCAACAATAAGTCTTATTAAAATTGTTATATAATGGAGCATCATGATTCATCAAAAAACTGCCGGAGACCAATAAAAAGTGTTTTGACAATATCTCTGCTTGTAGACAGTGCTGTCTTTTGTAGCTCAAATACTTGATTCTTTCAKAAACACTTATCTTAGGTTTCTTGTTACATCCATTACTATTATTTCCAAGGGAGTAAGGGCAATTAGACAGAAATTCCGATTCCAAAACCCACGATCTTGTCTAGCTACTACAAGGAAAAAAAGAAGTTTTTGTTAGCATGTGACATCATCGCCGCCATGTTGGTGTACCGTCAGCCAAAGATTTCTCGTTAGCTTCTCTTGTTATGTACACCAACATGGCTGCCACGCCTCTATTCTTGGTTAGCATGTGACATCATCACTGCCATGTTGGTGTACCGTTAACCAAAGATTTCTCGTTAGCTTCTCTTGTTATGTACACCA